GGCTCCCAAACCAGCGACCTCTTCCGTAAATGTCTCGGACTCACTGCTCCCTCCCCGTTTTTGTCCACCTTCCCATGCACTGCACTTGAATCATTTGTGCTCTCTAGAATCACTGAGGCTCCAGTGGCACGAGGAATCCATTCCAGTCTCCTTGGCCTTGGGGTCCAGCCCTTTCCTGTCTGAACCAGCCTACCTTTCCAGCACATCCCCCACCCCCCAGCCCTCCCTGGTGCAGTCTGCCCCTTGACCCAGGGCACTGTAAGTTCAGAGCTTAGAATGGGCTTTCTGGACCCCCTGTCCATTACCTTCCTCTAGATATGCTTCAGTTTTCTATGTCCACCAGACCAACGCTACTGCAGCCAAGGTCAAATGTCACATAACAAAGACCACACCCCTAATCTTGGTCTTAGCTGATGGCCAGCTGTTAACCCCAAGCCTGCTCCTGGATCATTAACCCGCCAGTGGGTATGAAGTGTGTCTCCTCCCATCCATTCATCCACACCATCCACTCCCACCAGGTGTTCAGTTCAATAAGAGTGTATGAAAATTGAAGGAACCTTCTGGTATCATAAAGCAGGAAAACTTGGAAGAGAGTTTGTTGAATGAAGGAAGGACCCCAAAGAATAGGCTGGAATGATTAGATGATTGGTGAATACTTTGGGATCAGGGAGCCCGATGCCCCTCATACCTTACATAACAACAGGCTCTTTCTGTCTTGGAGGGAAAGATCAATGAGCAATGTAACCAAAAGCAGAACTTTCATGTTCAGAAGAGCTGGTGTGTATGTGTGTGTGCCTGCCTGTGTGCCCAGCATCCCAGGGCCTCCCAGTCTGAGAGAGAGACTCAGAGGCCAGAGAGATACCTGCCCTTCTGTGCTGGGAACTCTTCCCCACCAAACCCCTCTAGGACGCCCTTGGGAGAAGGGCTATGGGCATTTCTAGAACATGCCCAGCTTCCACAGAAACTGACCAGGAAGGATCTGCTCTGAAGATGTATTGATATCACAGAGCAACTTGTGCTTTAAACTGCAGTCTCCTCTGATTTTCCGGAAGTGACCTGCCCCTTGGACTTACTCTTGACACATCAAGAACTTTGATCCGCACCTCTTCCTGTCTCCTCGATCAATCCTCCGATTCCTATTCCTCGTTCTGTGGCCTCCTTCTCTGTCTCTAAAGGAACTGCAGGCTTTGCCCTTTGATCTTAGTGGTGGTTGCGCTTCCTCAGAGGACAGGTCCGTTTATCTTTATTTCAAGTTAAGGAAACATCCCAGTAGATGCTTGCTATCCTCTTCTTTCTTCCTGGGCTCCTGGCACATGGCTTTCTTGCCTGGGATCCTCTGTACAGCTGGGAGAGGCGCAGTCAGAACTAAGGTGCTGACAGCTTGTGTTGGAATCACATGGTGTTTACTGTGCTATGAGTTTACAGCCTCCTTGTTTCCATACTGACAGCACACGCCATATGGAGAGAGAAAACCCTGTCAGATGAACCCTTGAGGAATCGCAGTGTGGTGCATGAAATCTCATAATTGCTTTCAGAGATGGGGAGGGCCCCTCGCTCGAATCACATCAGCGATGGGGGCGCTCCCTGCCATAATTGAATAAAATGGAGTTTGACATGAGGTAATTTACTTTGTTCTGTGTTGGTGCCGGGGAAGCTCAGCTGATCGGGGAAGGATGAGAAAGTTTGTTTTCTCCCCTCGGGGGATCAGGCTGAGAGGGAGGCAGTGAGAAGGCAGGCTATGTCCGTAGGGTGTTGCGTTAACAGGTGCAGGCCCCAGACTGGTCACCCTCCTGTCGCTGATGATGACCTGACATTTTATTACTGTCACTTGGGATCTTGTCTGCTCACCCAAACGCATTCCACCTTTCCAAGATCCCTGAGGTCTGGGATCGTGTCCCATTCCCCCCACCTCTTTACGCCCACCGATCCTGCCACACCCCGAGGTGGGTTAAATGTTTGTTGGAGTGGCTATTCCCAAACCACCTGTGCATGGAAAGGTAGGCTGAGTGAGGCAACAGTTCAAGGCTAGTTTCAGCCCCCAAACCACATGAGGAGGGGCCCAGGGGAGACTTGCAAGGTGTCTCATCTTTGTTCATCAACATATCCACTCAAGAGAGAATGGGAAGGTCGTGAGTGCCTTCTGCACATGGTAGAACAGAGGAAGTGGAGGTGTCGGTCGTGTCCGACTCTGCAACCGCATGGACTGTAGCCCGCCAGGCTTCTCTGTCCATGTAATTCTGCAGGCAAGGATACTTGAATGGGTTGCCATTTCCTTCTCCAGGGGATCTTCCCGACCCAGGGATGGAACCTAGGTCTCCCGCATTGCAGGCAGATTCTTTACTGTCTGAGCCGCCAGGGAAGCCCCAAGAGCCGGTGGATTCCTTCAGAAACAGTTTGCGCCCTCAGGCAGTTTACGCAGGAAAGGAGAAGTGGGCTATAAACTCTCCAGCCCTAGTCACTTGCTCTTTTGGTTTATGGTTGTTCAGTCGCTAAGCCGTGTCTGACTCTTTCGTGACCCCACGTACTATGTAGCCCTCCAGGCTGCTCTGTTCAGGCAAGAATACTGGAATGGGTTGCCATTTCCTTCTCCAAGGGATCTTCCTGACCCAGGAGACGGAAACACAACACCGCTGGGTTAAGCGACAGGTGGATAAGGGTGCAGGGGGAGAGCAGGCCTCAGTCAGCTGCCTTTGGGGTCTCCTATGATATTTGCAGCTCCAGGCTTCTCTTTCTTGCTCTTTCTCCTATGTCGGCTTCACTCTCCATGGGCGCTCGCTGTCTGGTGGGAAAGACAGTTGTGTTGGCTCCTGACTGACTGGTCGTAAGACCTTGTCATCCCAGAGGGGTACGTGTTTCTTCTCTGGAAGTTCTAGCAAAATCCCTGGAAGGACTTCCAAGGCCCCCTGGGCCACGTGCCCTGAACCTATCAGTGTGGCCCTGAGACAGGACTCTGACTGGCTGGGACTGAGTCACATGCCCCTCCCTGAAGCTTGGGAGGAATTGTTCCCTTAGAACCACGGGCTGGAATTTTACAGACTCTGGGGAGGAGGTTCCACAAAGGATGGGGAAGAGAATAGACCCCAAACCGCACTTCCATCATTATAACACATGGGGCTTATTAACCAATTCCTATGTTCGGGGATCTAGTCTGAGGCGTTTTTCTGCATTGTCTTATTTAATCCTCATGCTGGTCCCTGCTGCTAAGTCGCTTCAGTCGTGTCCGACTCTGTGTGACCCCTTAGATGGCAGCCCACCAGGTTCCCCCGTCCCTGGGATTTTCCAGGCAAGAGCACTGGAGTGGGATGCCATTTCCTTCTCCAGCGCATGAAAGTGAAAGTGAAGTCTCTCAGTCGCGTCCGACCATTAGCGACCTCATGGACTGCAGCCTACCAGGCTCCTCTGTCCATCAGATTTTCCAGGCAAGAGTACTGGAGTGGGGTGCCATTGCCTTCTCCACTGGTCCTAGCAGATAGGTGTAATTATCGTTCCCAGTTTACAGATGAGGAAACTGAGGAATAAAGTATCAGGTCATCTGCCCCAGGGCACACAGGCAGTGAATAGTGAGGCTGGGATTTGAACCTGGGTTTAGCTTCAGAGCCCTTGCTTACAGCCACCAATCTCCCTACAAGTAAGGGCTGTACCTCCTGCAGATAAACTCTCTGGGTATGAAAGTGAGTGGGCGTGATGGTTTTCTTCCCATCTTATTGTGTTTCATATCACCAGGGAAACCTGCTCTAAAGGGATGATTGTCCTGGTTCCTCCTCTACACTCTACAAGGATCTAGTCTTTCCTGTCTTCTGGATAGCTCTCCTAAGCAGGTCTCCCTCACCCTCTTCCTGGTTTCCCCACAAAGTCATCTGACTTTTCCTGGTGCAGCTGCAGAATCAAGGGGCTCATTTTCAGTGCTCTAGGGGATCCAAGGCAAGGTGTCTCAGCAAGACCTTGGAGCATCTTTCTGGCCAGAGAAAGCCTCTTGCAGAGTCTTTGCAGGAAGAGCCAGAAGCGGCCCTCCCATCTTCCCTCCAATGCACATCTTCATTTTACAGAGGAAGACAAGAACCCAGAGAGGGCAGATGTGTTGCTTGGAGTCACATAGAAAGTCACTGACTAGAACCCTGGTCTCCAGGCCTCTGGCTTTGATTCTTACTCTGTCTTTCTTGTTCAGAATTCTCTTGGCTACTCAGTAGCTGAGGACGGGTCACTTCCTGCCTCTGTGCCTCTAGCTCCTTAGCTGGAAAATGCAGGGTTTTCATAATGTGAAGCATTTTAAGACTGGGCTTTGCTTCAATAGGGCAAATACGATTTTTTTTTTTTTTACTGTGTTCATTAGCATGTTTTGAATTATAAGTCATTTAAAAAGTTTTTCAAATTGTCCTAAACAGCACTCATAAATAAGCTTTTCAGATGTGGTTTGGGCTGCAGGTTGTAGGCATAGTGTGATCCAGATTCATGACTTCACCAGAGCACCCACTCATAATTTTCCCAGCTCTGACTTCCTCTCCATGTGAACATCATCCTCACAGCAGCTTGTTATGCAGTATCAAGATCTCTGCAGCAGACCCTGGCCTCACACCCTTACCCCAGCACCAGAGGAAGAGAGAGCACCCTGGCTTAGCGTGCCCAGGCAACATCTGTGGTTCATGTGGATTTTAGTGGCTTGGTTTGCATGCTCGGCTCCCTTATCCAGTCACTGTAACCAAGGAATGTGACATGCTAATCAGCCAGCTAGGGACACTTGTGCCAGGAAGTGCTAGGATCTTCACACAGAATTCAGGGCATTGAACAGGGAGTGGACTGGAGAGTAGAGACAAGGTATTAACTGGCCCCTTTTTCTACTGACCTTGTCCCTCTGAGTCTGCAGAGCCTGGAGATGAGTAAGGGGTCCTGAGAGTTTGCCAGTCACCTTGCTGCATCCATGTGGGATGAGGATCCAGACGCGGGTTGATGGCTCTGCCTGGCCCTGTCTGGGTCTCACCATATTCTTCTTTTCTTTTCTCCAGACCGAGATTACTGCAGTTTATGTGACAAACAGCCAATCGGGAGGCTGCTTTTCCGGCAGTTCTGCGAAACCAGACCTGGGCTGGAGTCTTACATTCAGTTCCTGGACTCAGTGGTAAGTCCCTGCTCCTGAGTGGGGAGCTTTTTGTCCTCTGTGATCAGTGATGGTTTTCGTCCAAGGGAAAAAATAAAGACCTTGTGACTTAGATGGATGAAGAATAAAGTTGTCGCTTAAGAAACTGCCAGTGCAGACTTTGAGAATGCAGACTTGTCTCCAGGTCATCACCTGCTGTGTTTGTTTGTACACTTTTTTACCATCTGCTTCTTCACTAGAATGCAAGTTCCCTGGGGCCAGGACCCTGGGCTTGCAGTTCACTCCTGCCTGGCATTATACCTGGCCCATACAGTACTCAATATTTGTGGGAGGAACATGTGTTGGCCATTTCAGGACAATCTGTCAGCTGCTGGCTGCACTGTCTGCTGGCATACCCAGACATGACTGATACCATGGGGTCTTCCTTCAGACGTACTGGTCATCCATTTGTTCAACAAATGCTGTAACAACTATTAAAAAGAATGCAGTAACGCCATTTGCAGCTACAGGGATGGACCTAGAGATTATCGTGATAAGTGAAGAAAGTCAGAAAGACAAATACCATATAATATAACTTATATGTGGAATCTTTTAAAAAAAGATATGAATGAACTTATTTACAAAACAGAAATATACTCATGGACATAGAAAACAAACTTAGTGGTTATCAAAGGGGAAAGGCGGGGAAGGGATAAATTGGGAATTTGGGGTTAACAAATACACACTACTGTATATAGTTTCTTCCCTGGTGGCTCAGTCGGTAAAGAATCCACCTGCCATGCAGGAGATGGGGGCTCGATCCTTGGGTTGGGAAGATCCCCTGGAGAAGGAAATGTCAACCCACTCCAGTATTCTTGCCTGAAAAATCCCATGGACAGAGGAACCTGGCAGGCTACAGTCTATGGGGTCGCAAAAGGGTCAGACACAACTTAGCGACTAAAACATCAACAGCATCTTTCCCCAAGTCCCCTGGACTACCAGCCCTGACGTGATCCCTGTTCCAGTGACCAGGAATAAACTGGGAATTTGGTATTATCAGATACATACTACTGTGTATAAAACAGATAAACAACAAAGACCTACTATATAGCACATATAACCTATAATTGAAAAGAATCTGAGAAAGAATATGTATGTGTGTGTATATATATAACTGAATCATTTCTCTTCACTGAAACATTGTAAATCACCCATACTTCAATTAAAAAAAAAAACAAAAACAAATGTTGATTGAGCTGCATGAGTTTTTAGAACAGGACATAGGAACGTGCAGGAGTTTCTTGGCACTTGCTCGGGAGGTTAGGACACCTCACCCTGGGCCTAGGGGGTCTATCCAAGGAAAGTGGACAAGGAGTGGGGAGACGAAAGATGAATCATGGTCAATCGTGAAAGGAATGGGGTCATCTGGGCCCCCCTTTCCAAGGCAGGGGGTGGAGGTGCTGTTGTTTCCTAGAGGCCCTAATGCCATCATTGGCTGCAGTCATCCTGCCCTCTGGCTTGGTTTGGGGGACAGCACGATGGGGCCCAAGTTTCTGTGTCTGCTTTAGGGTTTCAGTATGGATCTCTAGACCCACTGGTCAAACTGTCCACTGAACATCTCACTGACAGTCACATGGGCCCCCTCAAAGTCAACCCCTGAAACTAACTCAGCACCCTCCCCCAGGTCTCCCATAGTACTAGCCCTGACACTTTCCCTGTTCCAGTGACCAGCACCCACCATCACCCGCACGTGGAGTCTCTGCATTGTGTTTGACCACTCCCTCTCATCGCTCTTTACCAGCCAGATCAAGGACCACGTGCCTGGCCCCTTGACATCTCCCGGCCCAGCTCCCTCCTCTCCACAGCCTCTGTCTTGGTCTCCAAGCCAGTGATTGCAATAGTTCCCAACCTCAACTAGGCAGTAGAAACACCTGGGGAGCCTTAAAAAAATAACCAATGCCTGAGCTGAAGCCCAGACTCATTAATTTGAATCTCTGGGGATGGGGCCAAGTATTTTCATAACTTTTTATTATGGAAAATTTAAAGCTATAAAAAGTAAAAGTCTACAGAATAGTATAATGAACCCCCTTGCACCCTTCAGCCGCTTCAACAGTTACAGACTCAAGGCCAATCTTGTTTCACCCACATCCTCCCCACACTCCACACCCTGTAGCGTTTTGCAGCTGATCTCATTTATGTCATTTCATCCATGAACATGTCAGTATGTGTCACTAAATGATGAGGGCTCTTTAGCCAAAAAAACCACAGTACCATTAGCACAGCTAAAAAGTAATAATTCTTTACTATCATCAAATATTCGTCAGTGTTCAAATTTCTAATTTTCTCATGCTTTTTGCAAATGCATCTCTTCATAGTTTATGACCACCTCCAAGGGCATCCTGTGCTCTGAGTGTTGTGTTCTCACCCCCGTATGTCATTTAATAGGTTCCTCTGTATTTCTTGTAAGTTGCTCATTGACTTCAGAAATTTGGTCAGATTCAGTTTCAATCTGGCAGTGGTTGGGGGCTGACTTCATAAGTGGTTTCATGCTCTTCTGCTAGGGAGCTTATAATATCTGGTGTCTTTTTGAGATGGCAGTAGCCATCGATATTCAATATCCAAATCTATTGATTAATTAAGGGTTGTGACATGGCAACATTCTAAGTCTATCATTCCTTCTTCCTTTGCTCACTGAAAAATACTTCCTTTCAATTACTGTTTGGTTCAGTCAGTTCAGTTTAGTCGCTCAGTCGTGTCTGACTCTTTGCAACCCCATGGACTGCAGGACGCCAGGCTTCCCTGTCCATCACCAACTCCCAGAGCTTACTCAAACTCATGCCCATTAAGTCGGTGATGCCACCCAACCGTCTCATCCTCTGTTGTCCCCTTCTCCTCCTGCCTTCAGTCTTTCCCAGCATCATGGTCTTTTCCAATGAGTCGGTTCTTCGCATCAGGTGGCCAAAGTATTGGAGGTTCAGTGTCAGCATTAGTCCTTCCAATGAATATTCAGGACTGATCTCCTTTAGGATGGACTGGTTGGATCTCCTTGCTGTCCAAGGGACTCTCAATAGTTTTCTCCAACACCACAGTTCAAAAGCATCAATTCTTCAGTGCTCGGCTTTCTTTATAGTCCAACTCTCACATCCATACATGTCCACTGGAAAGACCATAGCCTTGACTAGATGGACCTTTGTTGGTAAAGTAATGTCTCTGCTTTTTAACACGCTGTCTAGGTTTGTCATAGCTTTTCTTCCAAGGAGCAAGCGTCTTTTAACTTCATGGCTGCAGTCACCATCTGCAGTGATTTTGGAGTCCCCAAAAATAAAGTCTCACTGTTTCCACTGTTTTCCCATCTGTTTGCTATGAAATGATGGGACTGGGTGCCATGATCTCAGTTTTTTGAATGTTGAGTTTTAAGCCAATTTTTTCGCTCTCCTCTTTTACTTTCATCAAGAGGCTCTTTAGTTCTTCTTTGCTTTTTGCCTAAGGGTGGTGTCATCTGCATATCTGAGGTTATTATATTTCTCCTGGAAATCTTGATTCCAGCTTGTGATTCATCCAGCCTGGCATTTTACGTGATGTACTCTGCAAATAAGTTAAATAAGCAGGGTGACAATATACAGCCTTGACGTACTCCTTTCCCAGTTTGGAACCAGTCTGTTGTCCCATGTCCAGTTCTAACTGTTGTTTCTTGACCTGCATCCAGATTTCTCAGGAAGCAGGCAAGGTGGTCTGGTATTCCCCTCTCTATTGTTTAGTTACCTCATAGTAAAGTTCACATAGGGAGTGCTTGATTCTTTTCTTGTATTTGTGTGTTTTCAAAGTACGTAATTGGTTCACTGGCATCCTCCAACAGTAGTAATCAGAGTTTTAATGTATGGACTTAAATGTGGGGCATTTTGATGCAGTGGTGTTCCATGGTTTCATTGTTGGCCGTGGGAGCCCCTCAGGTTGGCTTCCGAGCCCTTGAGAGGACCCCAGTGGCTGCTGGTAGCCACCATGCTGTCTGATGTGATGCTCTGGGCTCATCTTGTATGTTTCCTGCCCTACACCTAGAGTTCATCATTTCTCCAAGGAGCCCTGGTTTCTTTTCCTGGGAAATGGTACTTGGAGTCTATAGTTTGGCACTTAGGGGTGCTTGTTATCTACCATTGTTTGAATGGGCCATTGTTTGTAGCAGACATTTGTTATTTTTGTTCAGTTGTCAGTTGCGTCCAACTCTTTGCGACCCCCTGGATGACAGCAGACCAGGCTCCCCTGTCCTTCACTATCTCCTGGAGTTTGCATAGCATTCATGGGGTTCTCCTGGGAAGAATACTGGAGTGGTTTGCCATTCATTGCTCCAGTGGACCATGTTTTAGCAGAGCTCTACATTGTGACCCATCCATCGTGGGTGGGCCTGCATGGCTTGGCTCACAGCTTCATTGAGTTACCCAAGCCCCCTTGCCACAACACGGCAGTGATCCATGAAGGAGGTAGTGGGCAATGGTAATTTTCACATCTCCTAGGACAGTACTTGGGCTTCTCAGGTGGTGCTAGTGGTTAAGAACCCACTTGCCAAGCCAGGAGATGTAAGAGATGTGGATCCCTGGGTGGAGAAGATCCCCTGGAGGAGAGCATGGCAACCCACTCCAGTATTCTTGCCTGGAGACTCCCATGAACAGAGGAGCCTGGCGGGCTACAGTCCATAGAGTTTCAAAGAGTTGAAAACAGCTGAAGCCACTTAGCACAGCACAGCACAGGATAGTACTCTGCAAATGTTCAGGGCTGGGAAACATTGACATCTAGGACAAATTACACATTTTGAGGCCGACTTACTAGACCTTCCACCAACGTGCCCCTATCTTTCATGCACAGCCTTCGCTGGGTCTTTCTTGAGACCTGCATTCTGTTCCCCGACCTGCTTCTGGTGGCTCTGACTTGCCACGCTGGTTGAAGCCTCTCGGCCCTGCCTCCCTCCTCGCACTACCTGAAAGGCCTCCCAGGACCTCTGCCTGCTGAATGCCGGCTCGTCCTCTGTACTCTGCTCTCAGAAACCTCCC